TTCGGCCACAACACAAGCGGCCTTCATCAGGTGAAGGGACGAGACTGTCTGGTAGGACAGCGCTGTCCTACCAGACAGTCTCGTCCCGTCAGTCTCAGACCGGTTGTCTGAGACTGACGGCGCGTGGCTGCCGAACGAGACGAACCACGCCGCCGAGACGACTGCTGTCCTCGTGCGGAGATGGAGCGAGTTTTACATCGTCTCGTGAGCAGCGGGTGGCGGAGCGGATGGCACAGCGGATGGCACAGCGGATGGTACAGCGGATGGCACAGCGGATGGCACAGCGAATGGTACAGCAGATGGCACAGCGGATGGCACAGCGGATGGCACAGCGGGTGGCCGAGCGGATGGCACAGCGGATGGCACAGCGGGTGGCACAGCAGATGGCACAGCGGATGGCACAGCGGATGGCACAGCGGATGGCACAGCGAATGGTACAGCGGATGGCACAGCGGATGGCACAGCAGATGGCACAGCGGATGGCACAGCGGATGGCACAGCGGATGGCGCGCGCTGCGCTACAAATCCAGCAACCAGAGTTCGATTATAAACTAAACTCAACTATATTCTTGGTTCTTTCGGTAAAGTCACGTAGAAGGGAAACAATAGAAAAAATGTCATGGTTTTCACACCTGATGATGATTGCTTGTGTTGCAGTCGAAACGTCGTGAGAATTTTATTGTTTTATATTTTTATTATTTTATTGTTTCCCTTCTACGTGACTTTACCGAAAGAACCAAGAATATGAATCCCTGCAGTCACGAAAGCTTTAAATCAAAATTTAAACTCAACTAATTTATTTTACCAGGTAAGGCCCACTGGTCTACATAGCTCTCTTTTTTTTAGAAGCGACCTGGCCATCACAAATTATGGTTCCAGCGAAGTGGCTTATCGTGTGTAAATGTATAGCAGTCAAAGACTCCAGTCTAAACGCATTTTGATCCTAAAATGTCGAGCTAAAAACCGGAGGACCCGGACAAAAATCCACGCGACCCCGGGGAGAGAGACACGAAAACTCCAAATATACAGCAGCAGGCGTCAGGGTCGAGATCGAACCCACGACCTCCTGTATACCAGGCGAGGTAGTTAACATCTCCTAGCCACCCTGACGCCACTTATTGTCCTTCACGAGCCTCCTCCTCCACAGAGGCCGATCTTGACACCTCTCATATAATTTAATCGGCAATTCCACTCAGCTCCACTTCCTTCTGCAACCACATCAGCCCATGTCTTCTCTACCCCGTGTTGTCCTTGCGGAAATGTGTGGTGGTCACTCTGTAAACACACACACGCTACACAGTACCTACCAGAGCGGGGTTATTGATAACCCTGACAAAGGCCCCGCCTGAGGGGTGGAGGCTGTGGAGTGTGTGTGTGTGTTGTGAGTGTGTGTGTTAAGAGTGTGTGTTGTGAGTGTGTGTGTTGTGAGTGTTTGTGTGATCCCCCAGAACCCTGCCCCTAGACAGAAAGCGGGATAAACAAACAGATCTGTTGGACTACCTGTGGCCAGAACCCCTCGTGAGGGGAGGGGGCTGTGGGGGATCTGTGATCCCTCAGAACCCCGCCCCTCGGTGGGGAATCGTATAAAAGGCGGGCTCCTGAGAGCAGAGCTCAGTTCGCCTCAAGCCGAAGTCGAGGAGCCACCTGGAGACGAGACCCTGGACCCCAAGCCCTGACGCCCTTCTAAGGGCCGGGGCTCAGTGCGGTGCCAGAGGTAGAGAGGCTAGGACCCTGAGGTTCCCTCAGCCCGACGTCCTTCTGAGGGCCGGGTCTGGACGGGCCCAGTGGTCAGAGACCCACCGGTGCCAGCGGTGGGTCAGCCTCCTTAGCTCCAGCCAGCCGGAGGGCTATAGGAGTAGGTCAGTGGCTAGGATAGCCCGGGGGGCTGTACCTCCACAGGTTGTGGGTGGAAGGGGCCATTACCCCTTCGTGTTAAGTCCTAGTGAGTGTTGTTAAAGATATAAAATAAACGTGTTGCTTCCTACTACGACTCCGTCTACATACACGACCACTACAACTGTATAGCAGCAAAAATAGTCTAAATGCATGGCTATAAATGTGGAGGAAAAACCGGAGGACCTGGAGAAAAATCCATGCGAGCATGGGGAGAGAGACGCAAACTTCAAATATACAGCAGGCGTCAGGGTCGGGATCGAACCCACGACCTCCTGCATACCAGGCGAGGTAGTTAACATATCTTAGTCACCGTGATTATGAGAGAGAGACACGCAAACTCCAAATATACAGCAGCAGGCGTCAGGGTCGGGATCGAAACAACGATCTCCTGTATATCAGGCGAGGTAGTTAACCATCAAAATTGGTGAAAGAATCTGGAGAGATTTAGTCTCAAATGACATTGGTGTGTAAAAAACTAAGCACCTGGGAAGACAAAGGCGTTCGGGCGTGGTTCTGGCCGTCCACCCTCGCATGCCGTGCTGGCCTTGATAGGTGCTCGCTACTTGCCCCAACAGTCCGCTAAAGGCGATACGTGGAATATGTCTTTTATTAAAATCGTACTGCGATGGCTTGAGAGAGACATTCATCCGGTAGTGAACATATCACGGCTGACAGTTACTGAATGACGAGGATAGGTTGCAGCAAGCACGCACGTCACAATCTTGGTATGCCTTTTTATTTTAATTAACACTTCATATTCATTGTTAACGGAATCAAGTCCACGGATAAATGGAATGAACAATATAGCAAGGGTAACAGATTTCTAACCACTTTTCAACTTCACACGAAGAGTAATTACATGATTTAAACACGCGACTCGATCATGCGCGCGCTCTACGGGAGAAGACATCAACCAAGTGGTGCCGGATTCTCGTCGTAGCAGCTACTATTACATTTGTAGCAACTACTACATTTGGAGCAACTACTACATATGTAGTAGCTGCTACAAATGTTACGGGCCCCGCATTTTCAAGGGCCCCGCGCTAAATGCTTTCAAGCTATCGATTCTGGTTCAGTGATTCTGGACTTGCTCTATTACTATAGTACTATACTGCATTCAACTTCATGAACGACTGGGTGTTTAAGGTTAGCGGTTTGTCGTATTATGCGGCTGTATAGCAAATGAAAAAATACAATTACTTTACTATGCAAGTTAAACATTTGTGTTTTAATATTTATGGGTTTTTTTTCAATTCAGGGCCCCTTTACAACAAATGCACCAGGCCCCGCACGAGCTTAATCTGGCACTGCAACCAAGGATCCTTCCCTTTGATGTTAGCAAAGTTCACTCTCACCGCTGCGATAAGTTTAGTCTCATTTCGGTACAAATGTCCTTTGCGTCTCGTTTTTTGTCTTCTTCTTCTAAAGAGTGACACCAAATTTCCAAGGTACATGCGCGACCAGTTAAAAAGGGACACTTGATTTTTCTTTACTTGTCTCAAATATTTTTTTAAACGAAAGTAAATAAAAAAAACTGCAAAGGGACTGACATCGGAAACTTCCATTCGTGACATTTCGTGGTGCTGGCTGACGAGTCTCAACTGTGTCCCGAGGCAATAAAGTGACAATCTCGATGCCATCAGTTTGACACGCAAGTAGGCTTTTCCGACCAATATTAATCGTAAAAGGTTTTTATTTTCTTGGGATTCGATGGCGTAAGTGTAAATGTGTTGTCAACCCACGTCTGGCAAAATCGCCCGACGACGCTGGTTGTAATTACCAGCGTAAGGTTACGGCACTCAAATAGTAAATTACTCTCCAACACCACCGGTGAGCTGAAGTAGTAAACTCATTGACACGTCGTGTTACCGTCACAAACTTTACTAATTGTGGCCGGTTTAACGACGCATTTATTATATGCTTAGTTCTTTCGGTAAAGTCACGTTGAATGGAAACAACAAAATAATAAAATATATATAATTGTTTATATATTTTTTATTATTTTGTTGTTTCCCTTCAACGTGACTTTACCGAAAGAACTAAGCATATGAATTACTGCAGTCACGAAAGCTTTAAATCAAGACGCATTTATTATCACGCTAACCCCAAAAGAGCGTTATGAATTGTGATGCAGCGTTTCTGCTCCCCAGATTTAAATTCAACTGCCCCCCCCCCCCTCCTCTCTTTTGTTCTATGGACAATGTGAAAAGGGAAATTAATGAAACGGAACCTTAATATTTCAGTCAACCCCCACCCCCCGGCATTGGATGTCGTGACATCAACGCCACCAAACGTAGACATTATTGTGGGACAGATAGCGCAGTCCCCTTTTTGTTGTGTTTGAAGGACATCCGCTCCCGACAGCCCAAACTTCCTTTGCATCACCGCCTCTCGGCCCACTGGCAAACGACTGCCTTTGTCCACCACTCACGTCCTCCCGCTTGAGACGCGCGGCATCGCCTGAACTCGTGCGGCACTAAAGGGGCCGTCCATAAATGACATCACGCGATTTTTGACCCCCCCCCCCCCTCGTCACAAAGTCAGACCCTCCCTCAAATATGAGGCCACAAATCTCTGCGCCCCCCCCCATTTCAAACCCCCTTCCCCCTCGTCACAAATATCTGACCCCCCCCCCCAGGTGCGTGACGTCATTTATGGCCGGCCCTCCTGACCTGTAAAACGCCGACGGGTTTATTTAGTTACTTCCCAACACAACGCTGGTCTAAGGCGTACAAACTAATTTTCTTCTCCCCCACCCCCTCCAGTCAACGTTGCCCCAACGTCGCACGCGCCCCCGGGAACGTTTGTTGCCACCGTATTAAAATTACCCATGCCGCCTCGCGGTGCCGTCACGTCACAAGCCACCACGTGTCACGGCTGCCGCTCCGTACCATCCGCGGACTGTGACCACCGTGAACTCTTAGAGATCACAGGGGACGTGACATCTCCGAAAGGCCATCGTGTATTCATGGATGAGTGCACACCAAGGGTGTTTATAACGAACTGATTGTGTAAAGTTCAGAGACTTGTTCATCTAAGCCACTATAAATAAACTTTTTTTTTTAGTAATTGCCAAACGATCTACATTTTTCACCATCCGTATAATATTACCGTGTTCTCCAGCTCATGAGCAGGTTCCTCATCTGTACTGTATTTCAAAGCAAAAGTTTGGAGGTGAAATCTTTATAAAATACCTGTCAACCTATACGGTTTACCCGTATTCTTGTACAGGGGCATTGCATTCTCAGGTCCATGCAGTGTACAGCCGTGTCATTACGGGCAACAACTAAACATTATCTGTCTCTCCATTGTGATGGCACTTTATAGGATGAACGTTGAGATTTATAAGGACACGGGGTGACCAATAAGGTCTCAATTGATCTGTCATAAGGTCACCACTGATAAGGGTTTAACAGCTCTGTTATAATCAGGTAGGAGTGCGTGCGGGTGACCGGATCTGTAGAACTCTTACTTATGCAGGACCACACGTTTTTCTTTTGGGGTACGTCTTAACTTTTCCAGAGCTTTTTTTATTTAGATAATCTGAAGAATGCGATAGATCATATGGGGCGAATTATTCCTCCAAAGTACCTCCAAATCTGAAAGCTTGTTTTTAAATGGGATATCAACAACCCCTTCTAAAACAGAAAAAAAATTCGCGTCACGGGCCACCGTGTGACGTGACCATTTGATAACTTTCCATCGCAATGTCCTCTTTCTTTCTTTTTTTTGGTGGGGGTGGGGGGGATAGGCTGCAGTGCAGTGTTTTTGGGAGAAAATAATTGTTCTCGGGTCGCGTAGAAAAAAAGAACACGCACTGGGGTCTGCAAAAAAAACAAAGCAGAGCAGTCAAAATGTGTTCAAGAACCCATCTGCGCGAAATGTATAAACAAACCAAGTCTCAGTCGGCTCTGCATGCCCCACTCTCCCATTGAGCGCTTGCGTGCTTTTGAAAAGTTATCACACTAGTTAAGCTATGCACTTCAAAATGTGAATTGAACTAATTTCTTGAGAACTGTCGTTTGTGTTTAGTTTGTTGTCCTTCCCCCGCACCTCCGATTTAGCACGGTTGGCTGGGTACGGTGCAAAATAAGTTCTACATACATTGTGGAATGGAGATTGTTGCATTTAAAAAAAACTTTCCATGCAGATTTTTTTCCCTGTGCACATGACATCGTCGGAACCACATCAAGACTAGTGTTCTCCACCATTTGTAACTGAATTCAAGAGCCACGCATACTACATTGACACTTTGTTTTCGAGGCAGGATCCAACTCGCGTTTCGAAATTTTGTTCAGTAAGAGTTAACAACTTTCTTTGTAAAACTTGTCAGAATGTTAACTCTCATATTATTGGTCCGATGGAATCCCGTATTGGTCCAAAAGAATCCTGTTCCATCAGTTTGTTTAATTCTGCTAACCCCATATCATGAGCTTGTATCACCATATTATTTCTCTCGAACCATGCACTTGTTCCCCCAATATTTAAAAGCAAAAGTTGGGAGGTGGGTCTTGAGAGCCGGTTAGAGGTGCGTGCGTGATTTGCATAACTGTCGGCACAGGTTTTGGGAGTGTGTAAAGCTCTTCCAATCCGGAAGCAACCAACCTTGTCGCAGCAAAGCATCATGGTACGGTAAACGTCAAATTTCCATGTTAATGCAAAACCGATGCGGCAATCCACGCGATCTACAAAGTCGGTTTACAACAGGCTCACATTACGTTACATAAACAACCAAAATCCTCAACAAAGTTCAAGCGGGGGGATGGAAAAAAGCACGACACACAGACGTTCAATTCTGCTTGCTTTGCCCATAGTAGATTTACTACATCTATAATAAATGTTCCTCCCCGGCAATTATCAATTCCCCAGGGTCTTTTTTTTTGCAAAAAAAATAGGGAGCAATGAATTTCAATTAGTTCTTGCCTGGTTAAATAAAGAATATCGACCAACTGACATTATAATACTATACATCTATCCTTTTTAACATGAAATTATCTGGATTTCTCGCATGCCTTCAATATAATTACAAGTCTACAGTATATAATATTCTGCGCGGATTACATTCGGCGCGCGGTGATGTTAGTCCTCTCCTCGTCGTTATTTATGGCACCTGGTAGGAATTTAATTTTCACATCTCACAGTCGCGCGCCTCAATGTTGGCTCCCTCCGTGTTACAATGGCCGTGTCTAGATCTGCGGGCGCTCCTCTCTCCCTCCACCCACCCCGTGTCTCTGCTGCAGCTTTCGGGGGAGAGGGATAACAACGCAATCTGGATCGTCAAGGACAATTCCCGATAATCTACATCGCGTTAGTTGTGCGTCTTGACGCCGACGACGTCACAACTACGGCGGCGCGTGTTGGGAAAAGCCGCAGACGTCGTTTCGGCGGCAGCAGTTGCGGGGGGGGGGGGGGGGGGAGGGGGGGTTGGCGAGCGATTTCCGATCATCTGAAAATTCACACGGACACGGCCTTTGGATATTTCAGATGCTAGGAAAAGAGATCAGCTTATGAGCTTATGGACACCTCGCCGATTTCGAATTACCCTCTTCTCAACAGCCGATTGGATTTTGTGAAAGCAATGGCTCATCAATGTTACATTAACGATGGTATTATATCGACGTTGGTAGGGGCTTCGAAATGAAATGTTTTCTCCAAATTTGCATTTTTCTGGGGTCTCCCATAAATAGATGAGCACGTAATAATATATGGGGCTGCAAAGTGGCAGCACAGCAATGGACCGAATCTATCTGTGCTGAGCTCGGAGTGGTGGAGGGGGTGACCCGTTGAATGTCGATGCCTTGGCGGCTACGACTACCACCCAAGTCCCCATACGCAACGTCGCACCCTAATTCATTGCACGACGGCTGTCCGATGTAATGTGCGCAATGTATTCTTTTCAACGAGCAGGGTCAGCAGTCCTGATATCATGAGTTCAAACCCCAAAACCAGATAACTAAGGCCCATCATCACAATCGTCATCCCTGCAGGATGAGTAAAACGAGCACCACCTGGTTAAGCTACACCACTTTGGTGCGTTCTATGGGCTGGGACCTGTCGTCTTTATCATCATCGTCAGCCATCATCCATCCCACTGCTGGATGGAGGCCTCCACAGGCAGTCGCCATCGCCCACGATCCTGCGACGGAATAATCCACCCAGCACATGGCAGGATCGTGAGAGACGGTGACCGCTTTGGTAAGCCTGCCAAAGGAACGGAACTTCCGCGGATATCAACTGCACCCGCCCAGTGATGTAGAGGGAGGTGGGGGAGGGGGACAGGGTTGGGAGTGGGAAGTCGGATCGACCACTCCTCCGCAAGTGAGCGACATAAGTCGCCTCGGCAAGTTGCATCAGCAGTGTCAGCGCCGTGATCGTCGACGCCAAATAAACATGCGAGAGCCGCGCACAAAGACAAAGATCGCTCGTGTAGCCTGACAGATGGACAAAGATCGCGTGACAGATCGTTGGAGCAAGTGTTGCTAGCGAGCGCCTAATTAAGGCTGAGAATGGCGCATGAGGTGTGGGCTAGATCCACGCCCGGCCGCCCGAGTTCCGACGTACGCCACCGATGCTATCCGTGGCCGCAAATCAAATCCAGGTCACCGGGTTTGATGCGCAGTGTGCTAACCACAACACTACCGCTCCCCTTGCAGATATAACGCACATCTGTGCACATGCACGCACGTGTCTGTTATGGGCCCCATGTTTGTGTACCGAGACCGATTTCCCACACCCCTCGACCGCTCCCGGTTTGATGTCCGTAGGAGAAGATAAACTGGCTGAGAATCAAACTCGAGTCGCGGGCTCCGTGGCGCGGTGTGCAAACCACTGTGACACCACTCCTCCCCATACCATACACAAGAGACAATGGTTCTGTGCAGCCACACGTACTGTTGGGGGCAAGTGCTGTTGTGTTTGTGTGCACCAAATTTTATACCGCACGCAAACCACGCGACAGAAACCAGACTGGAAAAAATGTAACGATGATCACTTTTGAGTCAGATTACGACTTTGCGTGTGGCTTAAGCAGCCCAACAACGAACGGCGTCCCGGGGAGTTAGGCAGTGTTGCAGCGAAGAGATTTTTTGACCGCGGTGAGGGCGCATGCACAAGTGTGCGGGTGCGTGTGTGTGTGCGCGTGTGCTTGCATCGTCGGATCAAGCGCTGGTGTGCGTAGGGGTGCTTGGCTGGTTGAGGCTCATGGTTTTGCACAGCCATCCGGCAAAATCCACTTCCTCGGCCTCGGAGCGCTTGATGAATGCGTGCGTCTGTTGGAGGGAGAGGGAAGGTGGAGGGGGGAGGGGATGAGGCGAGACACGGAGGTTAGTGCGCAGGAGACGAGAGATGGGGAGGGATATATGGGAGGATCAAATGTGTGAGCGCACTCCGTCGCACAAACTGTAGCGCAGGGGGCGTGAAATTTACACAGGACGGCAAACATGTCCATGCCTCTATCAGCAAGTCTGGATGCCAGCCACACTGCCTCCATCTTCGTATTGGCTTCTTTGTCCGTGTCTTTCAGACAGAGGTCAATGAATGAACGACTGTCAGAAAGTCTCATCTATCGTTCGGGCAGCAATTCTGTTTGTCTGTCTGCACAGTCTCTGTGTGTGTGCTTCTCTGTCGTGATGTCGGCAAGCGTGTCTTTCTGTCTGCTATTACGTCCATTTGCTTGTCCATCTGCCAGTGTGTGTGTGTGTACGTCTGTCGGCGTGTCCGTTTGCCTGCACGTCAGTCCATCTCGAAATGTTGTACAAATCCTGGGTGTGAAGTGTCCAATGTGTGCCCTTCCTCACCATCAGATACTTCAGGTCAGCTCTCTCTGCCGGGTTCTTTATCAAGCTGTTGGACAGACGCACAACAACACAACAACAAGACGAGTCGTCCCGATTTAAGAGAACTGTGACCGAGCGATAGCGCGTGCATCCAACGGCTTCTTGGTAGTTCAAGTCGTGTGTGGCCACCCCCTGTTGATACTGCGACGTGCATTCACAGTAAACGCTATACGCCATCCTCTTGACCGTGGGCGTTTAAGATCCCGTGACCTTTATTTGAAAAAAAAATGCACGGGCCATGTTTGCTGGCGTCACCAATTCGCATCAACCAAATATGAAATGTTACACTAAGAATTAGTATTCATTGGGCTAACACGACAATCATCAATCATCCTTTTACCGTGTGAAACTACTGCAGACTGTCTGAAGTATGGCATGAATACCAAATGCACTCATGATTTGATATACAAAGTGGCTAATCTGTATGCATGCATGTACGTATGTAGAGTAGAACCCCTTTTGATGACGGTAATTGCTTCTACGAAACCGGTCGTTAAGTGATTTGGCCGTTAAGCGAGTTTAGGAAATACATGTTAAAGGCTTAATTCGTTCGAATAGCATCGAAAGTTAACCTTTTGCGCTGACAAAACGTACTTTTTACATATAAACAATGGATATCTATATTCATACATGAAGATACTAACAACATTATAAACACAATATTAAAAGAAACATGGTTAATGATTGCATTAATTAATATTTTACTGTATCTACAATAACCCGTTGTAAACAGGGGAATGGTCGGTAAGCGACACATTGGGCTCTATGGAGTCACTACACTACTATACACTACACTATACACTACACTACTATACACTACACTACTATACACTACACCACTATACACTATACACTACTATACACTACACTACCATACACTACACCACTATACACTATAAACTACTATACACTACAATCCACTACACTATACACTACACTACTATACACTACACTACTATACACTACACTATACTACTCTACACTACCCTACTATACACTACACTACTATACACTACACTACTATACACTACACTATACACTACAATACACTACACCACTATACACTATAAACTACTATACACTACACTACTCACTACACTACACTATACACTACACCACTATACACTACACCACACCACTATACACTACACTATACTACTATACACTACACCACTATACACTACACTACACACTACTATACACTACACACTACACTATACTCTACACTATACACTACACCACTAAACACTACACTATACACCACTATACACTACACTATACAATACACTACACTACTATACTATACAGTACACTACTATACAGTACACTACTATACACTACACATTGGGCTCTATGGAGGCCCGTCGTTAAGCGATTAGTCATTAACAGGGGTGGTCGTTAAGAGGGGTTCTTACTCTACACTACTATACACTACACTATACACTACACTAATATACGCTACACTATGCACTACACCACTATACACTACTATACACTACTATACACTACACTACTATACACTACACTATACACTACACTACTATACACTACACTACTATACATTGGGCTCCATGGAGGCCCGTCGCTAAGCGATTAGTCATTAACAGGGGTGGTCGTTAAGAGAGGTTCTACTGTATAAGTATCGCGCGAATACCAAATACACTCATGATTCGATATAGAATGCTGCTAATCTGTAAGCATGTATGTATGCGCAGATAACCCCCACCCCCCCCACTCCCGGAGAAGACTCCACCAATTTCACTGAGTGATGTGTCATTTAAAAGCTCTTTCGTGTGTAGTTTATGCAAATGAGGGAGTGAATCACAGACACATTTGACTTTCAATCCAATAATTGGACTTGTGTTGCTCCGGTGTTTGTTTGGGGCTACCATTTACAGTGGGTAGCATCATATATTTTCAAAATCATACCGTGGATAGGTGTGCCATTGCAGAGGGGGGGGGGGGGGGTGTGGATGGGTGGGGTGTGCCAGCGGCGATATTTTTTACTTCAATTATTTCCAAGTGATCTATTATCCTTAAGTCTCAACAGGCTTTTCTACTGGCTGGTTTTAAAAGTTTTAAAAAATACAATGCAATAATATTATAAATAATATACGCATTTCATAGTTCTGCGTAAACTAGGACCTACGTTTCGCACCTCCGATTAGCACGGTTGGCTACGTACGGCGCGAAAGAAGTTGAACATGCATACATAGCTAACAAGACAGGGTTCCCCTTGCATATAAACATTTGGCAGTGCATCAGGATTGGTTCAGGGCAAAGGCCTGATTGCTGATAAGACACAATGTCAAAAACGCACTGTCTAGAGTTTTTCCAATGAACCAAATGCTCCTGAAATGATGCACTCCCAGTAGTCCTGTGTGTAAGGGTGGCGAGATGAATCGTCTCAGAGTCTTAATCACAGATATGTGGAGGAGGCATACTGTCTGCCTATTTATATATATATTTTGTGCTGATATAGTAGTGTAGGATTTGGAGGTGTGCATCGGTTTGGTGATGGAATGCCGACGGAGGACTGCATTTTTTTTTACCATTTATTTACGAAGTCCTGGAAGTCCTGCGTGAAGACGGTGCAAGGCAGCTTAGGTGGTGGCTGCAAGGGGACACGGGTGAAAAAGGAGACATCATCATCAGCCATGGTTATCCCACTGCTGAATGAAGGCCTCCCCAAATCACCGCCGTCTCTCACGATCCCGCGATGGAATGAATCCACCCAAGCACATGCAGGGTCGAGAGAGAGACGGAAACGATTTGTGAAAGCCTGCCACAGAAACAGACTTCTGCAGATTTCTACCGGGTCTGCCCAATGCCGTGGCGATGCAATACTCCGCACAGGAGCCCATTTCATGGCTCCACCACCTCCATGGTGAGACATCTGTGACATTTAGAACGAGACAGTCTTGCCGAGGTCTCAAGACTCTTTCTCAGGAGGATCCTGCTACATTGGCATGTTTGACCTATGTGAGAAACCCCCGACGAAACCCGTGAATGCTAACCGAGTGACACTCAAAGCTCCATACAGCTTCGAATAATCCACGGTTGGGACTAATTAATCTCCCCTGGTGACCACGCAACCGATATAAGTTTTCAAAATGAAGCGAGATGTGCTGCTTGGATTTTCAACTCCAAAAACCAAATGGCTCTCACCTGGCCATAACAACACCTTGTCCCAAGCTGTCCTACAGGACCTTAAAGAAGGTTATCATTCGAACGTCCATGAAGTAGATTTTTTACTTGGACATAGTGTCAACCAATTAGAGACTGTGATTTCGATGGCTAAATAGTTGTCATCGTTTCTCGATGGGGAAAGAATGCTAAAAATACTTCGGTCTCGGACGTACTCGGACGAACTGACGCTTTCATTCGCACTTCGACGGTGGTGATGTCGCATTCAAGTTTCGTGTACATGTCAAACCTTTTTTGTTTAAGCCACAAACAAGCCATGCTTTTCAAATGAGGGACCCCTGCCACAGCGGTGCAACGTTCAGTGCACCACACTTGGAATACAGGTCGCCAGTTCGATTCCATCTCCGGCGCAAAGGTTGAAACAACGGGGAAAGTTTCACAAATCCCCCCCACACCATCCCTGTCCACCCGGCAGTCGAAATGGGTACACCACAGCGAGTCCATTGTGTGGTGGGGTAAAATGTGGGTACTCCCATTCCACGACATCTCGTTAGCATAGAAGTGTAGGCCAAAACTCCCACCTAGAGATCCGTAGAGTGGAGGCCCTTCCACCAGCAGTGGCGTGGGAAAGCCATTGTAAGGGCTGCACCCTTACTAACATTTATTTCACTTTATAAACTATAAACGCCTCGTTTTTTTGTCCTTCCCCCGCACCTCCGATTAGCACGGTTGGCTACGTACAGTGTGAAAATCCACCCCGTTTTAAGTTATTAAAATTATTTAGAAAATCTCAAATGATGCTGCCTAATTTGTGGAATGATCAATTTCTATAACTCTGGGCCCCAAGGCTGGCTAAAATCCGCACGGGCGTTCCCGGGTTCCCACCTCATTCACGATGTAATCCAGCAGTTCGAAGATTGCCATGGGAGGCCGTGCATCCATGTTGTACGCTGTGGGGATTGGGAGCCGAGAGCAAACAGAGGTGGGGGCGGAGAGGGGAGGAGGTAGGGGTTCAAGACAAGAGCATGATTTTATTCTTTATTATAACCAGAAGCAGCTCCATTATGTAAGAACATTCCATGCGAGTCTCCCGACTTGGTGCGTAATCGGAGCGAGCCGTGCCGGGTAAAAGATCGCGAGGAATCCGTCATGGGCAGCAAAAGTTAAAAACACCTTATTACTCAAACACACAGAAACGTCAGGAGTGGTGCTAATAATATTGATGATAGCAACACTGAAAAGTGTAATGTTTATTAATTGTACTATTCACATGATAAATATTGCTACATTTTTAAAGCAAGGTGTAAGGATGTAAGTCAAAAGGTCCTCCTATGTAAGTTTATGGACCATTTGTTAGTTTACACATTCTATGAACGTCAATGGATCCCATATACTCTATGGGTTCTAGCTGAGCCTGTGGAATTGTACAGTGGGGCACAGTGCTGAATGCACTGCTCAAAGAATCTCGTAATCGGAGCTCGATTCCCAGCCACAGATCCAGTCCTGGGTACCCACAACCTCCCTTCGCCAACCAGCACTGATCAGCGTGGTGAAGTGTGCTCAAACAACCGCCAATGACTGACATGGGCGTGGGGAGGCCATTGTCCAGCAGTGGATTGACAAATAACTGTACATGTAATCATTTTGCAAGTCAAAGTGCCCATTGTATGACCGGGTCGTTTGGAAGTCTTTGGGGGCCGTGGGTCCCAGTGGAAGTCTTCAGGTGCCTATTTAAGTCTTTCAATCCCTACGTAAATGGTCGGGTCCCAATGGAAATGTGTGTCACACGCAAGTCTACGGGTCATAATTTCAGTCCATAAGTTCAAAGTATTTAAGAATCCTACGTAAATATCTGGGTCCTGTATATGACTACAACAATAACGTAATCTCTCTTGATAGCTCTCCGTCTCCCTCTCCCGCCACCACTCACCACTGCCGGGGCGTCCCGGCGGCCTTGGCCGAGGCGACGTGTTGTTCTGCATCGCCTCGGCGCCCTCGGTCACCGCCTTGCCAAAGATGCCCTCCAGCTCCTTGGCCTCGGGAGGTGGGATCGGGTAGCGGCCAATGGCCATCTCCACCAATGAGAGGCCCATGCTCCAGATGTCCGACTGCACCGAGTAGTGAGTGCCCTGCAGACGCTCCGGCTGCGCGCGCACGCAAACCAACGACCGTCACGGTGCCGCTGCCGCGCTGGGGATTGTGCCACGGCTGTCCCGCGAAACCCCAGAGAGGGCACGCAACCCGATTTTCGACTGCCCACTCGCCGTGGCCAACGTCGGGTGACGAATGTCCGAACTGGTCGTGGGGCCCTCCCATAGGTCGACTCGGCCTTAAATGAGTAATAGTTTAAGAGGATGGCTCCATTAAATCCACCGACTTGGCTAAACTCCACAGGCTCGTTGTTGACAAGGCTAAAGATGCGACTGAAATATACAGTGAGGGAAAAAAGTATTTGATCCGCCCGCTGATTTTGTACGTTTGCCCACTGACGAAGAAATGATCAGTCTATAATTTTAATGGTAGGTTTATTTGAACAGTGAGAGACAGAATGACAACAAAAAGATCCAGAAAAACGCATGTCAAAAATGTTATAAATTGATTTGCATTTTAATGAGGGAAATAAGTATTTGACCCCTCTGCAAAACAGAACTTAGTACTTGGTGGCAAAACCCTTGTTGGCAATCACAGAGGTCAGACGTTTCTTGTAGTTGGCCACCAGGTTTGCACACATCTCAGGAGGGATTTTGTCCCACTCCTCTTTGCAGATCTTCTCCAAGTCTCCTTTGGTTCTTTCGGTAACGTCACGTAGAATGAGAATAAAATAATAAATTGATAAAATAAAATAACACAATAATATTCTCACGACGTTTCGGCCACAACACAAGCGGCTGCTTGTGCGGCCAAAGAAGATGAATCCTTGCAGTCACGAAAGCTTTAAATCGAAACTTCTCCAAGTCATTAAGGTTTCGAGGCTGACGTTTGGCAACTCGAACCTTCAGCTCCCTCCACAGATTTTCTATGGGATTAAGGTCTGGAGACTGGCTAGGCCACTCCAGGACCTTAATGTGCTTCTTCTTGAGCCACTCATTTATTGCCTTGGCCATGTGTTTTGGGTCATTGTCATGCTGGAATACCCATCCACGACCCATTTTCAATGCCCTGGCTGAGGGAAGAGGTTCTCACCCAAGATTTGACGATACATGGTCCCGTCCATCGTCCCTTTGATGTGGTGAAATTGTCCTGTCCCCTTAGCAGAAAAACACCCCCAAAGCATAATGTTTCCACCTCCATGTTTGATGATGGGGATGGTGTTCTTGGGGTCATAGGCAGCATTCCTCCTCCTTCAAACACAGCGAGTTGAGTTGATGCCAAAGAGCTCCATTTTGGTCTCATCTGACCACAACACTTTCACCCAGTTGTCCTCTGAATCATTCAGATGTTCATTGGCAAACTTCAGACGGGCATGTATATGTGCTTTCTTGAGCAGGGGGACCTTGCGGGCGCTGCAGGATTTCAGTCCTTCACGGCGTAGTGTGTTGTTACCAATTGTTTTCTTGGTGACTATGGTCCCAGCTGCCTTGAGATCATTGACACGATCCTCCCGTGTAGTTCTGGGCTGATTCCTCACCGTTCTCATGATCATTGCAACTCCACGAGGTGAGATCTTGCATGGAGCCCCAGGCCGAGGGAGATTGACAGTTCTTTTGTGTTTCTTCCATTTGCGAATAATCGCACCAACTGTTGTCACCTCCTCACCAAGCTGCTTGGCAATGGTCTTGTAGCCCATTCCAGCCTTGTGTAGGTCTACAATCTTGTCCCTGACATCCTTGGAGAGCTCTTTGGTTTTGACCATGGTGGAAAGTTTGGAATCTGATTGATTTCTTCTGTGGAAAGGTGTCTTTTATACAGGTAACAAGCTGAGATTAGGAGCACTCCCTTTAAGAGTGTGCTCCTAATCTCAGCTCGTTACCTGTATAAAAGACACCTGGGAGCCAGAAATCTGTCTGATTGAGAGGGGGTCAAATACTTATTTCCCTCATTAAAATGCAAATCAATTTATAACAATCTCGACATGCGTTTTCTGGATTTTGTTGTTGTTATTCTGTCTCTCACTGTTCAAATAAACCTACCATTAAAATTATAGACTGATCATTTCTTTGTCAGTGGGCAAACATACAAAATCAGCAGGGGATCAAATACTTTTTTCCCTCACTGTAATTAAAAAAATAACTACCGAACAGATTAACACTGACCCGAGTGCGGTTACACGCGAGTGTGGACAGTGAGTTTGCGTGCGGTTGTACGCGGTGGCATGCGGTTGCGCGTGGCCGAGTGGTTGTTCACAATTGCGTGCGGTCGCGTGCAGATGCGCACAGTTTCGCGAGTTGCGGGTAACTACGTGCGGTGGCAAGAGGGTTGTGCATTGGTCGCGTGCGGTGCGCGGGCAGGCCGTACCGACATGTAGGAGCGCGTGCCCACAAACGAGTTGGCCATGGAGTCGATGAGCTGCCCACTCACGCCAAAGTCGCACAGCTTGATCTCCCCGCGCGAGTTCACCAGGATGTTCGATGGCTTCACGTCTGCTCCACCAGGGCGTGGAGAGGGATTTGAAGCATCGACAAAATAATTTAAGTGCTTGGCCAGCTAGGGCGGCTCAGAGGGGGTGGGGGGGGGGGGGGCTCATGAGGGATGTGACAACGCATGGATTCATTGATCAGAATCCACGCTTCCGCTCGGGGGTACACGTGCATCAGATTCGCGTGCAAGTCTACCAATATTCTCGATTTTACGCAAATCTATGATCCAACATTACAGTTTATCTGATGGTGTGAACTTAAAACTGTACAAAGGAGATGGGGGAGGGGGTAAATAGAAAAAATAAAAAATCTGAATTAAAATGAGACAGGTACTTGTAGAATCTTTTATGGAATCATGGCTGCTAATCACGATGATCCAATTGCCTGGTGGACGAAGCATTTTACCCCTAGGGCTAAATAATGATGATACGTCCACATTAAGTACACACCAATCATAATCATCATCAGCCTTGGTCAATCCCACTAGCACCAATAAGCTAATCTAGCTTGCACAATGCAAACAACGTAGGGCACCGCCAACACGCCGACTTGATGACGGTAAGGGAGGTGGAAGAGTTTTTCACAATTATTGATGGATAAAAGGGATTCAAAGTTCAATCAGATACAGTTACGCAGCACTATTTAAAGGAATGATGTGTGGTGGTAGTGGGGGGGGCAGCACTGCACTATGAACCCAGTAACCAGAATGCAATTCCCCGGCCAGAGCGAACATCCACGGTTGAGTGACATCCAGGAAATAAAAATTGGTGAAAAACAGTTCATAAATAATTCGATAAGGGATTAAACTATTTTTTAATTTTATTTGATTCTATCAGGTGAGGCCTACTGAGCTATATAGCTTTTCAGAAGCGACGTGGCCACAAATGATCACTCAACGAAGTGGCTTACCATGTGGAAATATAAAAGCAACCAAACACTCTAAAAGGCATGTTGTTTCGAAGTGTGGATGGAAAACCCGGAGGACCCGGAGAAAAATCCACGTGACCGCAAACTCAAAATATGAAGGGGTCGAGATTGAACCCACGACCTCCTGCAGACCAGGCGAGGTAGTTCAAATCTCGCAATCATCAAAATCGGTGAAAGAATACCTGAACAGAATCTGGACAGATATAACCTTAAATGAACCTGGTGTGTGCAAAAAATCAGCACCTGGGAAGACAAAGGGTGTTCGGATATAGTTCTGGCCATCCAACTTTCGTATGCCGTGCTGGCCTTGATAGGTGCTCGCTAATAGTACTTGCCCCAACAGTCTGTTATTACCTCGGTGGTCTAAATCTAAAAAGTACAATGACCATCTTTGTGGCACATCAAAGAAGATGCTCTTGACGAACGCTACAGCCGCGGGACACTGAATAATACATTTTATTCAATTTACAGAAACGTTTTGCAGTTGTTGGGTCACCTGGCTGAAACATTCAACTCTCTATGTTTGAGAACCCAGTTTGTATCATGGGCAACAGATATCCGCATTTAACCAGTGTGTGGTAGTGGTTAGCGCGATACGCTACGAACCCAGGTTGGATTTCCGCTCGCAGCCAACACCAGTAACGATTATCTAAACCGGTCCTGGGCCTCCCCCTAGGTTGACTCAGCCTCAAATGAGTACCTGGTGGGGTGTGTAAACATCGCCACTTGGGAGACAAAGGTGGTCGGGCGTGGTGCTGGCCACCCACTCCCTCGTGTACCGTGCCAGCCTTCGTAGGTGCTCGCTAACAGCACTTGCCCAAACAGTCTGTTCAAGGCTATAGGGGGGATCTTTGTCTTTGTTTTTCAGACTTACCAACTACGCGGCAAAGAGCCGTTTCTCAGCACGCAAACCACGCGAAACAATATCTCCTATAATTCACGGATGTTGCAGTGCTCAGCATTGCAACATTTGATAACCGATGCAGTTTGGTAACCGATGCAGTGTGAGCATTGTGCTTTTGATTAAATATGAAAGATCACATTTTTATTGTTCGAAAAAATGTAATATCGCTCACCATGGCCTGACTCCTGACATTTCATTTCGACGCTGCACGAAAAATTGATTGGTGACGTTAATTTAACCGTGAGGCGGCCTCGTTCGCATTCAGTCTCTTTTGCGAGAGGGGCTTGAAAAATATGAAAATAAATTCGATCCACTATATATATAAAAAATAAATACTTGAATGCAAATATAACAAATAATCCTTTTAGATTAATGGCATTTGATAAAAAAAATAGCGAGAACTTTTAAATAGTATTATTGTCTTGCGAATTTCACGGAGAGGCAATCATGCTTCTGATGCAACGTTGCAAAAAAAATGCAATTTTAATTTTTTGCAAAGTCTATTATTTAACCAGGAGATGAAATAAACATATTGAGACACGTATAACATTGCCTTCTTGGAAAAGGGGCACCTTTAGGGCTACATCGAGACATGTTAAGTACATTTTTAAAATGAACAAATCTAAATTATAACAAGAATCGAATGCACATTTGAATTAGACTTAAGAGATCTAAGGAAGCGTCGACGAAGCCGTGACTGTCAGGCACCTCCAACAATAGCCGCAACCCCGTGTACATTTACAATTCATCTCTTCAAATACTATCGCCATGGCGACATTGCCGTTACCGTGGATACTGCCGCCCTGCGGGTGCGCGCTAGGGTTGCTCGGGAAGAGCAGGACACTTACAAACCCCGCACGGCGATCTATCCCCAGTGCCCATATTTATTTTTCCGCTAAACATTTTTCGTACAAATTAATAAAAGGCATCGCCACCGCTTGCTCACGCTAGTGCTAACGGAAGGCCCCCCCCCCCACCCACTAGAGGGAGCTGTCGAGAGTATCCCCTATCGAAAGGAGTTCCCAATATTTCTGAACACGCAGGGAACCACTGTCAACAATCAACTTTGTTTTTCCCACCCCCTCCCCCCCACGGACCACCAAGCACCAAATAACATTTTCCAAATCTAAAACGACTCCGAATCGGAGCATCGGCAACAGTTCGGCAGACCGCTTCCCACGGCCTTGAGGAGAGGCACCACTGGTCCCCGCAGACTGCAAGGTTGGGAACTATTACTTGAGAGGATATCTTCGCCTACACTCCCACACTGGCCAGCTGTCTTGGAAGAGGTGGAAGTTCCCACATTTTACTCCACACCACGTGACCTGCCATTCAATGCAACCGTGTTGTTACCCATTTATAACTGCTAGGTGGGCAAGAGGCAGGAGGATTAAAAAAGAAAACCTTGCCCCAATTGCTACGCCAGGAGAGGACAAATTCAATCGGCAAACCTCCTGGATTGCCACGCCAACTTCCTTTTTATTTAATATCACCACCAAAAGCAAATATTGGCAGAATGCCTTGAGGGCAAAAGTCAACTTTGCACAGTAAAGTTTACGCCAAGGCGCAAAGTGCACAAAGAAGTGCTGGGAGTGCAAAGGTTAATAAGAATTATAATTAGGCCCTAAAGAAGGCTGTCTCTAGTGTAGACCAATCAGTTTCAAAGACAATGCCTACATTACCAGAGCATGTTTTTTTTTTGCGTGTTCACCACAAGTACGTGTGGTTAATGCAGACATGATTCCTTGCAAAAGGTTTGGTGTTTGAACATCATAACACCTGTTTAATTGCCATAAAGGGTAAAAACTATTCTTATAATAATGATAATTTCTTTTTATTTCGTTTATTTAGTCTAAGGCTCTTTTTTTTCAGGAGGGTCCTGCTACATTGGGGTGTTTGGACTAATTCCATTTTGCATTTGGCACATGGGTGGAAACATTAGAGGAGGAAAAACCTGGCCACCTCGCAGCTTTAAAGGAAGATGCAAGATACAAAAACAACTTTAATTTTGCATATGCGCACCCACCCGGGCTGTGTGTTATGGAATGCCACACACGAGTTTGAAGCTTCGATAACGAGGAAATTAAATACCCTTATAAAGCCACCATCACGCAGTCCGGCATAGCCCTCTAGTAGCGCAACTTGCATTGAAGCCGTGTTGACGAGCACGGGTGCAATGATCACGCCCCTACGCACATTAACTGTTTGTTTTTATCAATGCCCGCTCAACTCAAAGCGACGTCTCACCTCTATGCATGATCTGATGTTTCTCTCGCAGGTACGCCAGTCCTTTGATAACCTGCAAAAATCATTCACGGATGCTCTCAATGGTGTGCGGAGTTATTCATCATGATTTAACATCAGCCATGATTTATCCACTGCTGGATGACCCCACTGCTCTCAAAATCCGTCGCCATCTGCCGCTCGTCCTGCGATGCAGCAATCCTTCAAGCTCCCGCACAAGTGCTGCTCATCCAGCATGTGCTGCGGATTTAATTTTGCTCCATCTCCGCAACGGACGTTATCTTGGGCGCGTTATGTCCGTTTTGGCAAGGTTACCGACGTCTGATGAAACCTAAATAGGTTAGCGCTGCAGCAATGCTCAATTTCAGATGTTCTTGCCTACAGAAGCCCGCCAATACGATGACATTCAGACAAATCATTTGTTGCATTAGTGCATACGCACTATTGCCATTTTAATTAAAAAGCACACACAATCGATTAATTATGTATTCATTGAGCGGCCAAGGCCTTTGGGCACGGTGGCACACACCCAAAGTCGAGGCTCGGTGGCTCACACATATTTGTAAAACTCCAAAACCCACTGGGAATGCGACTGTGGACAGTACAATGAGTGGGTTAATAAGCCTGTCTGTATGGATCTGTGTGCAATATCCACCTCATATTTGTGAGTTTCCTCTGGGTACTCCGGTTCCCTTCCAGTGCACAAACCAATTCCTGAAAAAGGGACCGGCCAAATATCCTGGCAGGTTTGTTAATCTAATAAATAATGAATGACGACATTCTGTCGATACCGCCAGTCAACCTTTGACATCAATTGGTGGCCCCTTCTCGTCTGCTGACCCTGATGTCTGGAACTCCCCCTCCCCCCCTTGCTATCTGCACTGCTGATTGCATTCTTGTTTTAATAGTTTGTTGCGTTACGGTATATATACAATGTGCCAGTATCTGTCTGCCCTCTTGGCGGGGACATTCCCACAAGACTGTTGCCTTTCCCAATTCACAACATTTTCTTTTACCCCCAGATTATGAAAAAAACGTCCAATAAAAACCAGTGGGAGCCACAACTTTCCAGAAGAGTGGCGGAATCATCCACAAGTTGGGCTCGCGACGCACCTTATGGCGGGGCACGCAAGGCGGCGGGCTTGACGGAAATGTTTACTCACCGCGATGCTGACCTTGCCCAGGATCTCTTCCGGGATGCGCCCGGCCTTCTTGAGCACAAGGTCCAGGGAGCCACCGTCCTGGGAGGAGGGACAAATGACAAAAGGGTTTTAACCGTGGGGGACGAACGGGCCCATGAGCCGTCGAGGTTGCACTTTAACCGGGGAATGGAGAGTGAACAAACAGGTGAGGCATTCTGTGACATCGTCATTAAAAGCCCAACCTACAAAGTCTATTGACCAATGAACCTTGTGCTGAATTCACTAGGGTACACGGTATTCATTATGCATGTAAGGATACATACAGTAATCGATTACGAAGCTCGATATGCAAGCGTGGGATGATGTGAGAATTTATTGAATATCAACTTGCGTGTGCTGTTGAAGCCTTTGATTAAATCGTCCGACACGCGCCTGATCTCGTCGGGATCTCAGAAACCAAGTCAGCTCGAGCCTGGACAGTGCTCGCACATGGTGGACATGAGGTCAAATGTAGGGAGTTGAGCGTAGGGGTGAGATCTGCGACGTGCCCGCAGGGTTCAGGCGAGCGGGAGATGCATTCATGAAGAGCAGCGTAAGGATTTACAAAGGAGCAGTGCCCATGGCGCTTGGCAGTAAGTGGGGCCAGAGCACTCTCCATCCCTACAGGGGCAGAGGCTGTTCTACGCAACACAATGGACACGTTCAAAAAGCAATCCCATTTTGTGTGCACAAAGAGATACCCTGAAGTGAAGCAGTCATATTGATTGCCATTCACTATTACTTGCCATTACTGCTTTGTTTTTGAAGTGTTCCTTTTCCGTCAGTACAGTCAACTCGATTATCGGGGGTAATGGAGGGGGAGTACAGGCCAAAATACAAAAAAAACTCATGGCAATAAAAAAATACGGGTAAAATAGAAAAGGCGGTATTGATCATCTGTGTGGAATGGCGGTTAAGACATAGGACGCGTCCACAGTTTTTTTAATCGCCACCTTCAAATAATCGGTTTACCGGCCCAATGCATTTGCTGTCATGTGGCTACCAAGTCATTGACCTGCGTGACGAGCGAGGAGCAGCGAGTGATTAAGATGGCATGCGGTAAACAGCGGCGAATGAGCACCGTTCAAACGTAACCCCGGTAAGTCCGCGCACGGATAATCGAGAGTAGAGCCTACATCGATTCATCAACAAAATATTGTAATGAGTTAAGATTTTGTTATCGATTTACTCGGGTCCGTTGAAAAATTGCGGACCCCGCTCCCACCACCCATGCCTCCTGAATGCAGGAAACTTCTTACAAGCAAAATATCCACGGGACGTCCTTAAGACGAATTTCTACGCCATCCAGCCTCGGGCCCACTCTAATTAACACCACCGCTTCCGAAGTTGCGTGAAAGACAAGCAGATGAGATGGCATCATTTCTGAGTGGTTGTTTTTTTTTTGGGCCGAGCTATTTTAATTAGGGGGCTAAGGTGGCGCTGCGGCTCCAAATTAATACATCATGAGACGGGTAAGCACGAGGTTGGTGGTTTACGCTGGGATCGCCACGTCCACGTGATACCCAGCTGTGCAGCGACGAGGAGGGGGGGGGGTGCCTGTCGCGGGGGCGGTGGACATGTGGTTCCCAACCTCGGTTGGAAAGCGGTCATGTAAAAACAGTGTTAGCGCTCAATTTCGTAATTCTCCTGCCACAAAATTGGGGGCAAAGAATGTGTCCACTTTCATTGCTTCTCAAGTAATCAATTTAACAACAAATTACCTTTGTGTAGCTTAAGTGATGGACAGACAGCGCTCACGTATAAATAAACAGGCCCTTGTGTTTTGGAGAAGTGGTCAAAATCTTAAAAATTAGAAAAAAAATACCTGAAAATTACCTGATTGCACTTAGCACTTATTGCCCATCCCTACTGGCAGACTAATGACAGCTTGCAGGCCAGGTATCTAGTCACCTACAAAAGGCACAAGGGACAGCTGCTACTGGAGGGTGCCCTTTCAACTTTTTTGATGACAGGACAAGTAAATCACCTACCACCGGTTTCCCCACCATACATCGCCTCACTACTCTCGCCTTGCACAGAAGCTCACGGTAGAACTCTATGCAGCGGCGTCACTCTAAATCTGCTTCGGACACCAAGGTCTTGAACTGCTACAACCTCACGTCACTATAAACTACACTACTAGACACTGCAGTGCTATACACTGCACTACTATACACTACTAAACACTACACCATACTGTTCCAGCCTCACGTCGATTCTCTGCTGTCAGCCCCTCGGTGTCGAACCTTCAAATCCCTTCGCACATCCGCAACATCAAATGTACTTCGACTTTCAAGAAACATCTAAAGGCCTCTCTATCTGTTGGGCCAGGGCTTTCAAGCAGCCCTGAGCTTGGCTCCACACCTCTGAGTTGTTTGACTTGTCTGCACATTCTGGCGCGTTAAAAATGTCATTATTATCGCATATCAAGTGCTTTGAGACCCCAGGGTTGCGAGATGTTACCTCCCTCAACTGCTATGCCAGAGGTCATGGGGTTCTCGATCCCGACCCTGATGCCTGTATATTTGGAATTTGCGTGTTCTCCCCGTTGCCGCGTAGATTTTTCTCCAGGTCCTCCTATTTTCCCCTCCGCAGGTGGTAGAATCAACGTGGGTTTAATAGTTTATTTTGGCTGCTATAAATTTCCACGTGAAAAGCCACTTTGTTGAGCTATCATTTGTGGCCAGGTCGCCTCTGAAACAGAGCTAACAGCTCAGTGGGTTCTTTATCTGGCAAATGAAACAATATTTTTTTTAGCTCTATTTAAAACAAATGATTACCATCATTCCGAGTAGAAAAGCCATGTTGCGGCAATGGAAAATAGGAGGCAGCTGTAATTTTCACGCTCTTCTCACAATTATGAACTTGGAACACTAAAAGTAATCCGCTTTTTAAGTAATAAAATGCCATAATATATTGGTACGTTTTTATATTCTCTAAGATTTAAAGAATATGCTGGTGCAAGAATTACATTAAGAGGGGCACATTTTCCTTTTATTAGAGCAATTTTGCGTCGTTAGATATTATTATTGCTACTACGTCTTTGAAACTTTGAAACTTCTTGGAGCATTTCAATTCAACGTTTATCTGTACCACAGAATATCCCATTCAGCCTGTTAACCAGCTAGTTTGGATGGCAACGGCTCGCAAGCAGTCACGAACGACAACAGTTATTGTTGGGCTGGAGAGCAGCCCAGCGAGAAGCCAGCAAGGAAACTCGAGGCATTGATTATTTGTAGGAGTAGTAGTAGCATTGATGAATACACCTCAATTGTAAAGCACTAAAAAGGGGAGAACACGAGGCCAAGTAAATAATCACCTCGCTCGCACGGAGGCAGCGCTTGCAAGCACTTTCGCCGATGTGCGCGCGCCAGTGGTGCACCCATCGCTCACCATGTGCTCCATGCAGATGCTGATCTCCCCGTCGCTGTAGAAGGCCCCGTAGAAGCCCACGATGTACGGGGAGTTGCACTCGTGCAGCACCTGCAGCTCGCGGATTATCTGGTTTCGGATCGCCGGCTTGATCTCCAAGTGGATGAGCTGCGGGGGCAGGGCCGCATCGCAGACGGAAGGCCGTCGGACGAAGAATTAACGACGTGCGAGCCACTTTTATCGGTGAAGGTGATAGGTGCAGCCCCGCAACTGGCTTACTCACGCCACTGCTGGCAGAAGGGTTTCCTCTCACAGAGGAAAGCTCTCGAGAGGGAATTTTCGCCTACTTGCGCATGCCGGGTCTAAGGTCCTGGACAGGGAGTGGGCCCACTCTTTTACCCCATCACAAGCCACCTGGCGATCAACTCACCTGTGTTGTACCCATTTTAGGGCACAGAGGCGGATGCGATTTTTGTTTCAACTGCGATGCCGGCAGATTGAACCAGCGACCGTCTATTGCCAGTCCAGTACGCTAACCATTACACACCAAGGCAGCACCACATTCCTTTTTCCTCTTATAATATCTGTATTTATCATGGATAAGGAGTCACACAGAAGTGAGGGTAAATTCATATTATTTCACATTGACACAGATTTATCCCCATCAAGTGACAGAGATGATCTCCCAAAATGCAAAATTCATCCTTTTATCTGCATGTTTTCAAGTATTATATATTTACGGATAAGTGTCATGGTGTCAGGGGTAGTGTCAGTGTGAGTGCTCGTGCCAGTGCTACTGTCAGGATGCATGCCAGTGTGAATGTCAAGGCTCATGTCAGTGTGAGTGTTAATGCCAGTGTCAGGGCTAGTGCAAGTGTCAGGGCTACCGATGAACCCATGCATCATTTATATACGCAGCGTATGTGGTGAGCATGGGCAGTGGTGGTGCTGGGTACGGGCGGTGAGTGAAAGAGAGAGGGGCGAGAGGGGCGAGCAATTGAGAAGGAGTAAAAGCACGACAGGACGAGCAGGTCACGAAGTGGTGAGCGTGAGAAGGCGGCGGTGGTGGGGAGGGGTGGGGGGGGGTGTTGGTGCGTGAGTGGCCTCACCTTGCGAGCCATGATGAGCGCCGAGGGCTTGTGCAGGACCTTCGTGACGACGCCGCCATTGCCGGCGCCCAGCTCGCTCAGCTTCTCAAAGTCGTCGTCCTTGAGCTCCCCCACCTTTTGCTTCTGCGTGAGGAACGCCTCCAGACGCTTCTTCTGCTGCTCGTCCAGCTCCAGCTCCTCCAGCTTCTTCTGCAGTTCCTCCAGGTTGGCCCTGGGAAGGAGTGATTCGTCCATTTAATCAGCACCATCATTTTTATTCGTTCAGTGTTTCCGCCCGTAGACAGGGTCCGATGGACAATTCTCTCTTCAATGTCGCTCCACCTCCCACTGCTCTCCTCGTCTGTCCGTACACACCCGTCCGCTTGCAGAACTTCGTCTAGCATCATCGTTGGTTTTTTTTTTTTTCTTCCCCCTTCCATCACAGAAATCTTCCCTCGATCGCTGCTTCCAGCAAGCCGTTGCCTCTCACTGCCACTTGCCCAATCCAGATGTCCATCACTTAATATTAATATTCACAGGACGTTTCACAAGCGGGGTAACAATCTCGAGATGCCATGCGGCAGGGGACGCGCCCGACAACAGCTGTGCCCTGTGTGGTACAGGGTGAACTGCGGCATCTGTCAGCAAGCGAGCACTCGTTCAATACGTAGGCTTTCGCGACCAAACTTATTCATAATTAAGGTTTTTTGGGTTAGATCGCGTCGGTATAAATGTTGTGTCGTAACCCTCCGCCACCCCGATGCAGCCAGTAAGGTTTGTCACGTAAACAAAACGTGTCAATTAGTTACTACTTCAGCCCACCGGTGTGTGTTGGAGAGTAAATCCGCAACGTTTACAATTTAAGTACAATATTTCGCCCGTAATTACATCCAGCATCATCGGGCGATTTGCCAAAATAGTGAAGCAATCCACCTGAAGGAGGTGGGCTGAAGCAGCAACTAATTGGCACGTTTAATTTACTTGACAAACCTTACAGGCTGTGTCGGGTGGCGAAGGGTTAGGACACATTGACACTTATGCGGTCTAACCCAAAAACCTTTATTATGAAGTGAGCATTAGTCTGCCAGGAGGGGATGCTGTTGATATGTGGTGATGATGATCATACTAATGTTGATAACTTACCCAGGAATAATCACACCTGAGTCTTAAGACTTGTGGCTCAGGAGGATCCTGCATTGGGGAAATTTGGCCAATTCCGTTAAAGTGAAGTTTGGCTTCAGGAGGGAGGAGATACCGGAGAACCTGGAGAAACCCTACCAAGCACCTGAGGAGGTGACATGGACATCTCCACACAGATAGATTCACAAATCCATTATTGGTATGCCATCTCCTGGCTATTTTGCAGCAAAAGCTTACGACACCTGGTTATTTGTGATACGGTCTCCCATCCATCCATGTACTAAGTTCAACAATGACGAGACGGGGCACGTGGCAGTGTTATTTTCATCATAAAACCGTACATTGCCCGATTCATGAGTCATGAATCCAATGTTACCTGAGCCGTGGTGAATTAGAACACCGCTCGGATGCTGTTACGCAACCTAGCATTGCATTTCCCACAAAACCAGCCGCGACACGCCACGCGATTTCGTTGATATTTTTCCTTCCGCCTCGGCGCAGATTCATTCTCAACGCAAAAAAAAATTGTCGTCGATCGGATCCCAGTCAAATGTCGATGACACGGGTCTGCGTTCTTGCTGCGGTTTGTGTTTCCGGTGAGCTGGCAACTGGGAGGGGACAAAAACCATGGGGTGGGTGTCTGGGACCGGCCTGGTGAGCACGCTGCACTATCAACCTGATCACGCGAGTTTGATTCCACGCCATAGCTAACATTGGTAGACGAGGTGATATCTGAACTGTTTATAAGTAAATCACTCGTGACCAGCCTGGTGAAGCTCTGGTTAAACAACCCCTACAGGCCGACAAGGCGTGTTGAGGTCTTTGTACAGCGGTGGATTTCCAAAGAGCTGCAAATTATTGCGTGTTGTATGCGATTGGTTCATGTGATCCATGCTGCCACAACGCACCCCGACGTAAAATAAATATTTGAACCTCAAACCTGATTCGTGACAATTAGTCAAATAATTACAGGCCTGCATATCATCAGCAGCCATGGTCAATCCACTGCTGGATGAAGGCCTCACCAAGCCTTTGCCATTCCCCTGCAATGCAGTGATGCAACGATCCTCCTGCACAGGAGCCGATGTCATCACTTGTTTCCTTTTTTGTACCCCCCAATTTTATTCTAATTCGCGCTGTCGGTGTGATGCCGAGTGGCAAAGTGTTCGTTTGAAAATCTTTGCAGGAAGCAACACGTACTGCCAAAGTGATAGAAAATGGCCGCAGAAGTTGGTAACACAGAACTACTTCGGAGATCCTCTCAAGTGACCCTCTCTCTTTGTTCACACAACCGGGGTGTTTCACTTTCTGACGCCACCCTCCTGTGCTCTCAGGCACATTGTGGTCTTGTTGGTCAAGTCCCTCCCAAGCATCAATTCCCTTCTGTCCCAACCTGGTATTTTTCGCATCTTGTTACCTGTGCCCAAGGAGACAGAGAATTTAGCACGGTTCCAACCATGCAAACATAACACAGGATCCCCACCCCATGACAGATGGCAACAATATCCCCACCACAATGACACACTACCCAACATTATAACTCTACCACAAACCTTTACAATCACAAACCCACACCCATCTCATTCAATCTCTGCTCAATGGGAAGGTCAATCCCTTCTCTGATGCTTGGCACCCTTGACTGGATCTCGCTGCCCTTTGCCATCAGTGCTGAAGAGTCCATGTGCAAGTCCAGGTTCAAGATCATCCTCTTTTCCTCTGTGCTTATAACCGTCTCCTTTTCCTGATGCAGTAAGCAAGCCTCCTCTTTCTCCAGAATGCCCATTCAGAAGCAACTGCAGCTATGCACTTTTAAATCTAGATTTGAAACTCATTTCTCGAGAACTGATTTTTTGCGTTTAGTTTGTGTGCCCTTCCCACGCACCGCCGATTAGCACGGTTGGCAATGTACAGTGCGAAAGAAGTTCAACATATATATGCTCTCTACAGCTGCATTGAGAAGCTGTAAAAATCCAAGTTGTGCTGTACTGTATTCAGCGGAGGACAGTCAAACAAGGATTTGTCATCCCCACAGCGGGAAGTTTTGTTTCCAATTTAAGTAAAGAAGTCAAAGTTAGCAATTAATGACTGCACCGAGAGCATAAACTCGCTACGTGTGAAAACCCGGTTTAATCATCCTGCGACGTTCACCGAGATTCGAACCCTAGTGGTGCCAGTTGATTGCCCTGACCATGAACCAACCAGGTCCTCCTCCATGTTTTATTGCGTTTTAAATATATATATAAAAAAATTTATTATGCAAAGCCATGGCGGTTGCTCCAATTATCAGGCTGACGAATCCACGGCGAGTCGAAAGAGAAGCCCCACGGACAGCCGCCGATCGCGATCGCGACACTGCCGGGGAGCGCTAGTTGGAGCACGTCAAGGTCACACGCGCCTCTGGCGCCCACTCGCACACGTCACTCGCTCCACAATGTGTTCCGTCTGCGTGCAACGGGCCTTTCGCAGAAACCGCACTCGCCGAGGAACGACCATTTCCCAGAGGCAACAGCTGACGGCGATGGTCGCGGCGGTTTCAAATTGACCCGTAAAAACTTTTTTTGGCAGCGGAAAAAAATCCCTTTCAATTAAATGGCACGAACCGTGGTTGCAAAGGGGAATGATTAACTTTTTCTCTCAAGAGTAAAACAAAAATCCTTTGAGCCCACTGCGCATTGCAGAAATCTCTGCCTTTGAGCTTTTCAAAAGGTGTGCGATTGGCTATTGAATGAGCTCACACTGGTTAAAAAGACCATCACAGCACCTCAATCAGAAATATGCAACGCCCAATTATGATCAATTATAGGGCATTCCAATGCCCGATCAACAAATACGAAGGAAACATTGCAGCGATGCACTCCGCTACTCCTGACGCGGTTATCTGGCTTGACCACCGGAATGTGAAAATGTAGTTGCTCTGCATCTACATCAGCAGCCATACGAAAGAAGAAGAATCGGAAATCTGCATTGGACCCGTGAGCCCGAGCAGAACATTGAGTGCGTAAGGGGTAGACTGGGGTGTTAGGGTGGGGTGTTTTGACACCTCGACAGAAAAAAGCCTACTGGTGGTGGTTAGAGCTGTCGAATTAGGACCCCTTGGCCAAGGGTCCTCCACTAGACGTAGAGCTCTGGAGAGCCCTCTCTCAAAGGGGTATTTGGTCCAAATCTCCTACTCTTCCACGCTGACCAGACGTCTTGGAAGGGGTGGGAGTACCCACACTTTACCCCGCCACATACAACCCGCCAATCGACACATTCTTGTGCACCCAATATACTGCTGGGTGAACAGAGGGGTGGGATTTAAGAAACTGCTGAATCAGGAGAAGAGAGATAAGAGTGTGTATGGGGGGAAGTAGAGTGAGATGAGAGAGGAACTTGAAAATGGCAAGTGCGATTTATAACTTGATCCAGGCTTGGATTGGGAGCCAGTGGTGCGACTCGAGTATGGGAGTTATGTGGTCTTTGTTTATGGCTACTTGGTGAGAATTCCGGCAGTGGCATTTTTAAACAATAAACAAGGCCACAATAACGCCATTGCGGTAGCACGCACTGCTGCAGCACTAGCATTGATTGACAAGCGCAACGCCCATTCCATTTACACGACTATTTCATGTCTGCAGCCTGGGTGCCTTGGTACCACCGTCTCATAAATATGGACTCGGCGCAACTCTTCATGCCGCAGAGCCGACAGCCGCGGGCGACTGCGCCAAATACTTGGCAGCGATGGAATCTCCCCTCCCTGACGCAGGATGCGATCGCTGGCACCTTGCAGGATTGGCAGGGCCCGCATGCACACCATTATCCCTGTTGTATTTTAATTCATAACTCACTTGTGGCCTGCAACGCGTCTCTTTGTCCGACTACTGGACAGTGGCGGCGCAGGCCTGTAAATCAGCACCGTGGAGGCCAGGGTTGGTGGCTCACACAAACGTAGAAAACCTCTCTTACCTTGGGCATAAAGCTGCAGTACCCGAGCTCATCAGGAGATGGTGGTACAGCAAGCATAGACTAATCACCATATGTCCCATCTGTATGAGATAGAGTGTTGCCCCCTCGCACGTGCGGGTTTCCACCCACATGTAATTAAGAATGCAA